TTCCATAACAAACTGAGTAAGTGACAGATCTAACCTTTGGGAGGTGGTGGTGGTTCAAGGCCAAGCCTTATTTTTTCCTGTTTTTCTTTTTCAATCTCTCGTCTTCTCTGAGTACGAATCTTCTTTCTTTCCTTCTTTGTTAACATGATGGGTACAGATGGAGCTTCTTTGGGTTCAGCTTGAAAGAAGAAATGAAGAATTGATGTCAAAACAATTACCTGGTCTTTGAACTAATTATTTCTTATGTACTTTATATAGAGATTATTCCATGGAAAGTGCACATGAATAATTTCTATTCACAAATTGCAATACATAAAAAAAACATGTGAGCACAGTGAACAAATAAGTTTTTTGATGCATTGCAACTAGTAAATAAAAATTGTTTAAACACTTTCCATAGTATAAATATATTTTTTTTAATACATACCAAGATTTTTTCACATTACAATTCAAAGATTGGAAGTGAATGGATGTGAAAATACATTGTTCATCCAGTCAGAGACCCAAACAATATTACTTCACAATGAAAGTACTTCAAAATGAACAATCACATTCCTCATAAAGATATAAGGCAAACAAACAATCTTCAGCTTTGTAATATTGTTGGAGGAAAAATAATTTTTTAATCTTATCTGCAGCCACTTTATATCATCCTGGTTTTGCAGCTCTTTGGATTCAACTGATTTTGTTCAATACAAGATAGAATCAGTGAACGTATTGAGGTGGATATGTTTTTCAACCCATTACAAGCTTTGATTAATAACCAACACTTGGCCTACCAGGAGGGTGTTTTTGTATTGGATGTTCAACCAGTGTTGTTATTCCAGCAATGTCATCTTCTACATTGACAGCATCTAAACTGATGTACTTTCCACCTGGTAAGATGTTGGAATCCCACCATTCAACATCAGGAACAGTATCCTCATGGGCTTCTCTTGGCGTGATCAGTGCTAGTTTTGTTGCTGATGAAATCCCTGTCTTCTTAGCTGCTGCTGCAATCTCCTTTTGAAGTTTATCAAGCTGTGCCTATGAGCATAAAAATGTAACATTTTTAAGCATTTTGTTTCAACAACTACATGCATATCTGGCTGTTGGTAATTTAGTGTTAATGACTGAATATTGGTCACCATAAAAAGTTTAAAGGCTGACATTTTGAGTGTTAGCCCTTCGTAAGAGCAATTGACAAAGGGCTAATGCTCGAAACGTCAGCCTTTAAACTCTTTATGGTGGCCAATTTACCTTTTCAACTTGGTTGTTAACACTAAATTACCTCTCCCAACGACACAGCACCACAGTTTCTTTAGAAACTTACCCTCTTTATTCATTTATCTGGCTGTTGGTTTATTTTATAAATACAAGAAAGGAAATATTAAACAACTTCTGACACAGACACAAATGTTGAAGTGGTACAAATAATAGCCCCAAAGACATGGATATACATTTACAAATACATTCAATGTGAACTAGTATTGCAGAATATTGTAATAAAAAAAGAATATTCATATTTTCATACAAAAGTGGTAATTATTGATCAAGATTTTGTAAAGTTATTGTTTTCTAAGACTGACAAAGTGACAAATATAGAGCATGTTGCTATGCAGGAAGATAATGAATATTCACTGTACCTTTGCTCTTATTCTCTGAGCTAGTTGTTGAAACTTTCCTTTGTCATGAAACTTAAATCCCCTTTTGTTCCGCTGTGCTGCCTTGATCCTGGTTCAAGATTAAAGAATCTTATCATTAGCCTGATCCACATTCACTAATATTAACAACTGATGAACAGAAATCACTCAATCAATCAACGATTTCAGTTTACTGTGACAAACACAATTAATTTCCCTATTACTTAATTGCTTTTAATTGCCATGCGGTACTTTTGCTACTGAGAACTGAACTACCACTGCTACTATTACTTCTTTATTACGAGACAGATTTAACAACTAACACAACCCATGTATAGCATAGGCTAATCTTGGTGGGTATTAGTAATAAATACATACTGAGTTATGCTGAGCAAAAAGATACAATTACCATACAATTGCTACTTCATGGTTCAATTAACTAATACATAAGTCAACACAGCAAGCACAACCAGCACAGCAAAAAAAATAACTAGATTTAGCCTTGAAATGGAAGGTAGGAGGGGAGGTTATGAAGTAAATATAAGCATTTCCTTACCCAACCCGTGGATCAAAATACTTGCTTTCATTCAAATCTTCAGGAGGTTTTTCAATCTTAAATTGTTCTGCTTTCTTAGCACGAATGTTAGCCTTAAGTGTTGGCATTCTGCTGGTCAGCTGAATGGCCCTTCCAGATGCATCAACCGTTCGACCTGATTCATCCAAGATCAAGGACCTAGGATGGGAGCTTTCATCCTTTAGAGCACTCACTGAAATTAAACCTGACTTTATCAAGTTTGCCCCAGCACTTGTTAAACCTGAAGTGGAGAACTAAAGGATTGTACAGAAATTAAAATTGCTGGCAAGAAAACAATAACAAAGATCTGAAACTCAACACAGTATGCTGACATGTACTATTGCATAGTCCAGAAAATAACATATTGCCTAGAAAAATATTGTATATGTGGATAATGAAATAATTGTGCGTGCTATTAAACAAGAATAAGCAATTTAATTTTTTTAAGACTACAAAAATGCACAAGCCAAAAGCATAAGTGAAATTTGCAGTATGTTAAATTCAGAATGCATGTTATTCCTGAATGCATTTGGTTCTGTGTGAAAAATCATGCATTTTGTTTTTTTTTTACTCAGTTTCAACCATCTCTATTGTTCAAAAGTTAACTTAAATAATCTTAACCTATAAGCAAGATGAAAGTTTGGAAAGTACTTGTAAGTTTGTTTATCTTGGGTTTAATTTTTTGGCAGTACCAATAACAAATAAATCTATGCAGCTTACTTATTAACTTACCAAGTTGGGTTTGTTTGACAGCTGTGCCTGAATCTTAGCCTGGAGTTCTGCAGCTCTTTTAGCTTTTTCTATTGCTTCACTCATCAATTCTTGTTGTTGTTGCATGCTAGGAATATTCTGTTCAATCAAGGAGAAATAGTGAGTTTGATGTTTCCTTACAATTAATATAGAAGTAATTTCACATGTTCAGAAATATACCTAGGTATCCTAGGTATGTAGGAGGCACGGTGGCCTCATGGTTAGTGCGCTCGACTCCAGATCAGGTGATCCAGGTTCGAGCCCTGGCCGGGGTCATTGTGTTGTGTTCTTAGGCAAGACACTTTACTCTCACAGTGCTTCTCTTCACCCAGGTGTACAAACAGGTACCAGCAAATGTGCTGGGGGTAACCCTGCGATGGACCAGCATCCCATCCAGGGGGGAGTAGCGATACTCCTAGCCACTTCATGCGAAGAAAACCAGAGTTAAGCACTGGCCCCATGGGCCACTTGGGCCCATATAAAGGCTTTACTTTTACTATGCTGTACTTTAGAACTGATCCATTGACAAATTATACATTTGTGTTATCAGTTAAATTGCTAATTTTAATGTTTCGAGTATATTTACCTGTCCAGGGACTGGAGGTGGGAAGGAAGCTGGAACTGTAGAAATAGCAGCTGGCTGGACTGGTCTCATAACCGTCAGCTGCTTCTTTCGCTCTTCAATTTGTTTTTTCATACTTGCCACCATTTCACTAATTTGGCTGCTACTAAGCGGAGTAGGCCTCTCTACTGTTTCAGGAATGGCTGGGGGTAGAGGTACGTTATCTTCTTTTAAAGCGTCGAACCGACTTTGTTTTCGCTTACTCTTAAGATCGGCAGATTCATTACGATCATCTCCTGGGTCATCTCCAAACACATCTTCTAGCGTCCTCTTTTTTGCTTGAGAACTTTTTCCAGAGGTAGAATTCTTGCTGTTTTTAAGCTGATATACTTTATCAAATAAGTCTGTGACAAACTGAGGAGCTAAATCGTCTAAAAGCGACGAGAGCTTCTCTTGCGATGAAACTCTATCCAAGTTATTCTTCACGCAGTACAAGGCAGCGTTAACAACACTTTTCTCATTAAACCCAAGCCGTCGCTCCACAGTTTCTTCCACCCAAGGCTTCAGTTCCTCTAACTCTCTCCTACTTACAGCCATTCCTTCTCTTCCGAGCTTAAAAATACTTTAGATTTGGATCACAAATTGATTACTACCTTCCGTTCTCCAAACGTTTGCGAGAGAAGAATAAATAGACCTTGATGAGGTCAGCGGTAAAACAACTTTAATACTTCATATAGAGAAGTAATGTAAACACAGGAACCTTTATATACCGGATAATTCCCATCCTGTGAAAAAGGTGGGTTGGACATTTCAGTTACATTTTTGGGAAAAATGTAGGGGTAAGTTGCTAATTTCATGATGAGACTGTGAAAAACATGAGACTGTGTTCCCACTTTAATTATTTGTTGGGACAAATGTGGGAGAATATTTCCATTTTAATTACAAGTTGGGGTAACATGATAATTACCGGAATCCAGCTCATAATTCCCATTCCCAGGAAAACTGTGAGCTTCGAGAAAAAACTAAGTTATGGCTAATGTGTTTACCTTTCCTCAAATATTTATAATCAAGGCCACTCGTTTGGGAGACCTTTTCCCAAAAGAATCAGACGTTAAAATAATTCTGTTTTCCGTTCGAAATGTCCTCTTTCCTATTTAGTTCAACAAACGCACTCAGGATGCCACCGATGCCTTTCCCGATGCCTCCAGTAATAGGTATATGTATAATCAAAATTGCTTAACTTTTTGTTTAGCGAAGTGACACGAATAGTTACTGAAACTACAACTGATTTGTTTCTACATGCGGTATCAAAGCTTTTTTACCGCTGACCACTCGTATTTCGGACTTTTTCGCTCCTAAACAGCCTCCCAACGTATCGCATTTCACGGAAGTCCCAATCCGCTGACCGGCTGACAAGGTACAGACGGACTACAATGGTATCCAGGCTCTTTCAATTCTTCGTTCAATTTCGCGCGCTTTTTCTCTTTATAGAATCAAAAGTACGATCAGCACTGTTTTTTTTCTCTCAGAATGGGAATTCACGGTCTTTCCAAGGTGATCGGAGATCATGCTCCCTCTGGATCAAAAGAGAACGAGATTAAGAACTATTTCGGTGAGTCAGTCAATTTCATGGTCGAAATGTTTCTGAGGGTATGCCACTTCATGTTTGGACATATGTGAAAGCAAAGTATGTTTGCATGTATGGAGGATATTACTCGGTGGCGAGAAGATATGAATTTAATGCTCGAGTGGTAAGAATAATTTCTCCCGAGTGAGCGCAGTGACTTGCCTTGAAGGCATACAGTTCATTTTTTCGAGCTAACGCGTAATTTTCTTTTTGTTACAAGGACAAGACATATGTATGGTAGAGATTAGCAAGCTGGCTTTGATACAAATACTGGGTATTAATACAAACAAAATACCCGATGCCCAAATTGCATAACAGTTTTCCATTTTTTTTATACTTTTGTTACTTTTAATGCCCTTAAAGCCTGAACAATTTCACTCGACTTTTATATTTCTCCGACATATTTTATTTACAAACATGACATGTAAACAACAAAGATTTTATACAAACTTGTTTTAATATACAAGTAGTCCTTTTAATTAATTACTGATATTATTTTTTTGTTTTGTTTTAATCATATGGTTCAATTTTTAGTGCAAAGCACTTATGAATTAACTATTCATCTTTATCTTTTATCTACATATAACACCAGTAGCTGGGCCAAATTACATGTGAACTGATTTTCAATAAGCTGGGGAAAAAATTATATTATTTGTTATGGCATGACTCATCAGATACCATTATTTCCAGGTTCTTTTACTATGAACTTTTAAGGGTGGTTCAGTAATATCTTCTATTTCTCTCTTTTGTTGCAACTTTTGGGAATTCCTTAAAAATCTTAAGATAATTCAACATTTTCTTTTTGTTATTGTCATCTTTATGTTGTTTAGAAAATGTATTTACACATTCATTGCTTACCGCAACAAATCTGGGGGTGGCTTTTATTCCAAACAATAAACAAACCAATTTCATTCAGCAAAGTTTGATGCTACAAGTGTTTTAGTTCCCATTAAAATGCCCCTGTCCAAATATTAAATATATTTATATACACCTCTTTTCTGGCAAAAACGTTGCAATTTGAGAATATATGTTAAACATTTATACCTTTTTTTTTTCATAAAAAATGGAGATGGACAATGTAAGTACAATTCACATCTAGGGAACAAAACCTTTTTTTTCTTGAGCAAAAGTGAAACAAAGACTTTGGGAACTTTTACAGCTGCTATTGTATTTTCCTTTGAGAGATTTTCCCTGTAATTTATTCTGTCCACACCTTTTTAATGGAAAAAGAAGAGGTATATATATATTTTTTTTAAATAGCAATGTTTGTGAAAATGAGAGTTTATATATACATGTATTTTAAAGTCATACCCCTCAATTGAATTGTATTTCTTTGCATAAAAAACCATTATTCTTATTTTTTATGTTTGCTCCTTTACTTAATAAGACTGTAATAATTTTGAGCACTGTGAGTTAGCTGTTTAAGTGATCCTTGAAACCATTTTAGGAAGGAAGATTGCAATTGATGCATCCATGAGCATTTATCAGTTTCTCATAGCAGTAAGATCTGATGGAAGTCAACTGACAAATGAAGCAGGAGAAATAACCAGGTAAATGCTTTTGGATAATGTGTACTTACAGCATCTGTTGGTCAAGTATCTGTTGACACTTATTAGTCAACTGGGTGTTGGCTGATATATCAGCTGATTCTCACCCAACATTTCAAACAAGTATTGGCTGACATGTCAACTGACAGTGGTTGCCTCTCCACCTACTCATGTCATGCCACTACTTTACAGACACTCTGCCAATACTTTACATCTACCAGTACCTTAACACTTTCATTTTAGATTCGACCCTACAGTGAAAGTGAAAGGAAAAGAACATGTCCATGTATATTCTTGTTCAGTATTTCCAGCAACATAATGGAATCCTGGGTGATAGGAAATATTACTTAGCTTGTGGGTTAGGGGTTGTACTTACTGAGCTGGCAAGTAGGTGTACAAGAAGGGAACATTTACTGAACCAAATGAGCTTAATGTCCTTATCTCAAAGTGAACTTTCATAGGCAATATCTTGTAACAATCTTCAAAACATTTATTTGGATGCGGATCTTTGTACTCTATTTGTACATTATTTGTACTCTACTTTGTGCAGTTGGATGATAATGGTCGATGCTCAGTGGTCAGATACCTGTAGTGCTTGTGATCCAGAATTTTTAGAGATCCTCAATAAACTAACCAACTTTGTAGCATGAAACTTATGCAGGGCTGATTTTTATTTGAGAGTTATCAATATTTTTTATTTCTTTCTCATGTGGAACTGTTAGGTTTTTGTAGAAATCCTATGAAAATAACTCAATTTAAACAACAATCATGACAGAAATGACAGAACTGGCCAAGAAACTTTTGTAGGGAACTTTCATAAGAAACACAATATTATCTTTACTGACGTGATCAACATTAATACTATTTATCATTGGTTTTTAGTCATTTGATGGGCATGTTTTATCGAACTATCAGGATGATAGAGAATGGTATCAAACCTGTGTAAGTATACTTAAGTTGATTGTTATCGATAGTTTAAAGTTAATATTTCAGTGTGGACGTTTATGTTGGATATCATATTTAAACGCCACTAAGGCTTTGCTAGTTGTAAGCTTTTAGATATGTATGGTAGTTGTTAGTAGCTTATGACAGGTGCTTTTCAAAGAAAACTTTGGCATGGCATGTCAGGGAGGGGCTGTCATGACCCCAAGTGTTGTGTTATTTTACTGTTTGTACCAAGTTCCAAGGAATCTGTCTCTGCTTATGTTGATGGTCCAGTGATCTTTACTGGTCTTCAATACTCCAAGACAAACTGTTATAAAGTAAATTATTCAAGTAACCAGAGATAATCGTGATATTATGAAATTAGGTTATATATTTCTAATCAAAGTGTGTATTTCTTACCTGAACATTTCTTGTAGATATGTTTTTGATGGCAAGCCCCCTCTTATGAAATCTGGGGAGGTAAGTATTGTAACATATTAACCTGAAGTAAAGGTGATCAGCATTCCAATTGAATTCTGAATGTTTTACTGAATAAGCTGTGAGTGAAGTCTGTACTCAAGCCTATTGGCCCACCCAGCAGAAGCTTATCCCAGTTTCCTCAGCATTCCAATTGAATTCTGAATGTTTTACTGAATTAGCTGTCAGTGAAGTCTGTACTCAAGCCTATTGGTCCACCCAGCAGAAGCTTATCCCAGTTTCCTTAGCATGAAGCGATTAGTCCCCCTTGGATAGGATGTCAGTCAATCACAAGGTTTACCCCCAGCATTTTATCAGGCTTTCCTGACAATCAGCCAGTACCCGTTAATCCTCTTGGGTGAAGAGAGGCACTGTGAGAGTGAAAATTTTTGCCCAAGAACACAACATATTGACACAGCTAGGTCTTGAACTCAGACCTCTTGATCTGGAGTCCAGTGCATTGACCATTAGGTCACTGTGTTTCTCAAACTTCAACCTTAATAAGTGTCAATAAGTTGTGATTAACAACTGAGTGATTTGATTGACTTCACACCTGTTGTGATACACCTGATAGCGATTATAGATTTACTTCTGCTAAACCACAATTGTCATCTCTTTATGATACAGATTTCGTTGAGTAAATTTACCAATGCATACAATTTTTAAAAAACCTTCACTACCACAAAGTTTTCATGATTTTGTTTTAGCCATGCATGTCAAAGTTATTTCTCATGGTTTGATATATAATATTCATCGGTATCAGAGGAGTAATTTGTAATGAAACGATTATGTTGCAAACATGTAATAGAAGGTAAAGTGGTTGTGATTTCCATCATTCACACAGTTGGCAAAGAGAAAAGAAAAGAGAGAGGAGGCACAAAAAGGACTCACCCAAGCAGAGGAAACTGGTTTGTTTTGTCTTTGTTACAAATGAATTGGACTGAAACAAATATTCTCTCATGTAAAATGTATGTTTGGATGTTTTTGGTTGAAACTAATTGTACATAGCCCAACACAGTTCAAATGTTGAGCTGTCAGGTATTATGCATTCAGTTCTTTGATTCGCAGACATAACTAGTATGTATTGCGTAACTACTGGACTAAA